TTTAAACTCCATACACCTTCAGTAGAACCATTTGATAGATTTCAGCAGTGGAATTGCCAATCGCTGCTGAAGAAAAGGTAAAATGAGCTGTTAACATGAAATCTACTACTTCATGACATCACAAGGTGGAACAGAGCAGTTTTAGCTTTGCTGCAGACAGCCTAATAATTCAAGATTACTGAACCATGTGTGAATGAAACAAAACAAAACTCCAGGTATGTTTTAGGGGATTTTTGATACTTTTGACAACACTAAACGTCATTATAGCCTAAATCAGGGATCTCCAATCTTTTTCCTCTTGTGAGCTACTTTTTGTAATATGAAAATGCAAGGGATCTACTAATTTTAGAGGTCGCCAGAAATTTTGTAAATGTAAGAGCCACGGTAAGCTGAAGATGAGGTACAGTTACATGTCTATAAAACATAACCCTTTATCCAGTTATTAGTGCACAAAATTAGGCATCAAAATGATACATTTACAACGGAAATAGGCACTTAATCAGTCAAATTTGAGTTATTCAGTGCTATATATATATATAATTCAGAAATCCCTGGGTGAGCTACTTGGAAGGGGTGGAGAGCTACTTGCAGCTCCCGAGCTACAGGTTGGAGACACCTGGTCTAAATTTTATAGTGGAAAAATGTATAAATAATAAAAAAGTAAAAAGTCTCACCTGTTTCACATGCATTATTATAGCTTTAGTCCTGCTTTGGGGCATATATTATGCAAAATTGAGCTTTTACTCATTTTATATGTTGTTACCTTCTGAGAAATATACTTGGAGTTTCATAGACATGTCTGAGTAATTCTTTATTATTAGTATGTCTAAATTGTCTAAGCTCAAAATGCTCTGTTCCACCTTGTGATGTCATGTTGATGGATTCAACATTTATATTAATCTCACTGTGTATGTAATGGTAATGTAATATTCACTTTTGTTACTTAATCATATTATAATCAATGTATCAATATGTGCACTTAAACAATTCTGTTTCTGAGTATTGCAGATTTCATGAGTTTGCAGAAGGTCACGAAGTCCTATCAAATTCAATAACAGGAAACATCTTGGGCGACCATTGCTTAAGGAGGATAAACTAAGGAGGATGAAATGAGAAAGGGCAGACTGACCTTAACTCTGGCCTGAATACACTGTACTGAAGTGTTATTTTTGTGTTTCCTGTAAGCAAAAGAGGAACTACTCCTTTAATGTTTAATGTTTAATGTTTTGCATGTTCCCCCTCCCGTTCTGAGAGGAGTAGTTCCCATTGTAACTAGGGGTCCTAATATTGAATAAAAGGCGTGGAGAAACGAGAGAAGGCTTTAGAGGGTATTGGGTGAACAACTACTAGTTACATGTAACTGAAGTTCTTCTCTCGGTACTCCCTCCACGCGTGTAAAAGATATTAATCTCTTGTCTTCTCTCTTGTTGAATATTGAGTATAGGTAAAGGTGAACCTATCACATGTAGTGGTAGTTTTCAAGTTAACAACTACCCTTTAGTTCAGTGTTCCTCAAAGACTGGGTCGCGACCCTGAGGTAGGTCGCAAGGGATTTTTTTGGGGTCCCCTTGTCACGATCTGCCTGTAGGTCTGAAATATACAGTTCTGACACTGATCTGCTGTTCAGTTCTCGTCCTGCACGCTGGACTGGAATGCTCTACAAAAACGCACACAGGCCCACCTATCTCATTACAAATGTTAAGACATGTTTTGTGTCATTTCTAATCTTTTTGTAATTATTTTATTGACTATTTTGGTCCAGTGTTGCTGCTTCAATTGAATGTTGAAAAGAAAAAGAAATGGACTACATTTAATGTCCAAATAGGCGACTTATGGATCCTTTTATTCCTGGTTCAATTACTGTTTTTCATTGTTTAAAACTTGAATAAAACTAATTGTTCACTCAGTTAACAATAAAATATCCTCAATAATGGTCAAATCCAACTTTACTTTGTAATTTACAAATAATGTCTATTGACTCAGGTCATGAAGGCTTGTGACTTTTAAAGTATGGTTCCCCAGAAAAAAAAAAAAAGTTTGGGAAATACTACTCTAGTTTACCTTTAGTTCAGAGGTAGGCCATTCCAGAGCTGAATGAAACACGTGTGAATAAAACAAAACACAACTTCAGGTATGTCTGTGATGAGGAAACAACATTATAACATAAACCAGAAAACAGAGTCATACAGACCCTTTAACCATACTGCACCGCTATAACAATTACAGCTAATGAGTATGACCACATTAGCCTAGCCTTTTACAGCATTTCCTATCTCCTCGTTGCAGTGAATCAAGCCATTGTTCCACCTGCCTGAACCGGATTAGGTCGCTACGCTAACTCTTTCTATATCAACCGCACTATATCTATTCAAACAAGCCTCTAATCTCGGCCAATGACGTGGGAGCCATTTTGATCCACCGAGCGCCCCATTGTCTCACAGCTCCAGCCAGATCTCATCGCGGACATGCTTAACCATTCAAATTGGTGGCATAAATCTCCCAGGTGCCCGCCATTTTGTGTCAATTTGCGGTTATATATGTCGATCATTAGTGCGTTTCTCTCTTCCCTTCAGGCCTGTAAAGGGTGGCCTCCGCTCCGAGAAGCAACTGTCCCTCGGAATCAATTACTGCAAAAGAGACACAGCTAAAAATATTTGTACGTGGGATTGTTTTGGTTACGTTTCATAAGCGTTACTGTGTCTGTGTGTCCGCAGGGATGATTTAAAGGTCCCGTATTACGCAAAATTGACTCTTGTGAGGTTTTAGTCATGTTAGAATGTTATTACCTCCTTAAAAACATACCTGGAGTTGTGTTTTGCTTCATTCACACACGTTTGAGTAATCATTTATTAGTAGTCTGTCTACATCTCCAAAGCTAAAAATGCTCCGTTGCACCTTGTGATGTCATGAAGAGGTAGTTTTCAAGTCATGTGTTCGGTAGAAATGAGCAATTCCAGGGCTGAAATTATCCAAATGATTCTAGTGAAGGTGCGTGAAGCTTAAAAACACAGTGGAGCACTTCCTGTATCTGCATCACAACAGTGGCAGAGTTTGCAATTTGGGCGAACTTGAGTTTGGGGCCCCCACTATAATGCACTTTTTGTTTAGTTTTTTAAAAATATATTTATTGTCCGTTTTCCCCCATTGTTCTTGAGACGCGCACATCTCTATTTATTTAAATTATGGTGATTGGAAACTTGTCTTATTAGTTCGGTCGCCTACTAGAAAACCAGAACTGAAAGTAGTTTTTTTTTTTTTTTGCTGGTACAATTATTTTTTGTTTACATCCATTACATATGATTATCATCACTGTTGGGCAAGTTACTTTAAAACTGTAATGCGTTATTTATTACTTGTTACTGTCATTTGTTACATTACGATATTACTGCAATAGTAATGTAAGGCATTACATGACTATTGCAGTACTTTTAAGTTACTCTCACCAAAATAACTGCGAAGATGCTTAACTTTTGCACCATATATGGACTGAACTGGGTCTGAACCAGGACTGAACCAGGTATAAACAGCGTAGAGTCTTCGGTGTTTCACTGCTGCTGATATCACAGTGATTTTAGTGAATTTGTATGAAGAAAAACCCACCACTTCAATCCAGGTTAAAAAAAGCATTGTAACGCGCATTACTGACATTTGTACCAAGTAAAATATTTTAAAAAATTTCCCCCTGTAATACCTTACATTACTGCGTTACAGCAAAAAGCAAAGCATTACAGTATTTTTTTACTTTTATAACGCGTTACTCCCAACACTGATTATTATTATTTTCCTTATGAGTATCGTTTAAAAGTAAAATACTCTCGTTTAAGGTCAAATTGAGAGAAAATCAAATTGCTCTGAGGCTTGGTTGGGGGACCGTCCAGGTTTGGGGGCCCTAGGCGGCCGCCTACTTTTGCCTAATGGTAGCACCGCCTCTGTATCACAAGAGTGTTTTCTATTTGAGATAAGAACTCATCTTAAAAACTCCGGGTTTGTGTTTTAAACTTGTTTGAATAAAACAAAACACAACTCCAGGTCTGTTTGTGATGAGGAAACAACATTATGACATAGATTTGAAAACAGTGTAACATGATCCCTTTAATAGATTGAAGTAATATTAATTGATTGATTCGCAATATGTGTAGTCTTGTTTTTGCTATTTTTATGTTTTAGTATTGTTTGACTTATTTGGCCTTGCTTAGATAATTTCTGTTTTCACCTACCCCCTATCCCCACCCACGGCTCTGTATTTACTTGCAATTATCTGAAAAATTAAGACTCTAAGTTACACAGGCGACAGTAAATTTAGTTGAAGAGCTTCTGTCCACTGATCCCAAAGTCTGCTCCCACAGATGAATGCTGTCCTTGTGTCCTTGGGCAAGGCACTGAACCCAACTCGCCCCCAGTGTCTGTGTACACTGGTGTGTGAATGTGTGAGTGAGTGGTTAGTCGCTGTAAAGTGCTTTGAGTGCCTTGAAGGTGAAAAAGCGCGATACAGAAATGTGACTATTTACCAAGTGTAGGTTTAAAAAATGTCATATAGCAATTTTTCAACTGTAAGAATCTTTTCAGTAAAAAATCTGCTACTTGTTACACTGAAGTGCCACTTTGAAGAGACAGGGACAGGAAGTCAATGATTATATAAGATTATTTTTAAAACTAGAGTCGTTTTCTCTGCGGGTGTGATGCTAACTAGACTCTCTACTCTGGCTGAAGCTCTGGTACTCAAGTTAGACTTTATTCTGAGCTTTGTTTTAACACAAGTCATTCACACTTTTGAGTTGAAAATCAAACTACTAAACAGGACCATGAACGCTCGTATTGATCACAGGCTTCTGAAAATTGTTGTTTAAATCAATTGTGTATTTGTGTGAGTTTTCCGACAATCTTTAAACTTATTTGCCAGTGTTTGCAAACGTGCGCGTTGTGTTAAAATGGTAATGCTGACCGGCCCCGTCATCCCAAATGTGACGTCAGTGCAAAGTATGACTAGAGTCTAATATTACCCAGTCTTGGCGAAGTTGGTCCAGTAGGTCATGACCACAGCGCTGAGCATGACATCGTTCTTGGAGAAGTTACAGGGGAACAGCTCCGTGGGTCCGATCATGGGCAGGCCGAACACGTAGGGGATCTCGTCGCCATGTGCCGCGTCGGCCCAAGGAGGAACCTAAAAACACACAGAAAAGAGAATTATGTAATGTTGTATCACGATGCAACGGAGTGTCAGTTTTGCCTGAACAGCCAGTCCTTTCTACGCTCTGTTCGAATCCTTAAAGGTCTGGAATCGCACTGCAAACTTGGGATGGTCCAATCACAAATGTTGGAGAACGTTTTTTTCAAATGCAGAAGACATTAAAGACTGACCAATATCGAGATTGCTTGGATTGTCCAGTCTTGTGTGTCCCGTGAGCGACCTTTACAAAATGAAAATGCTACTAATTTAAGCGCTTCAAGAAATTTAGTCGCTGTAAGAGGGCAAGTCTTAGATGTTGTACAATTAGATGCCTATAAAACATAAAACCATTATACATTTATTAGCACACAAAGTCCAAAACACATATATTTACAGTGGTAATTAATGAGATTTGAGTTATTTTCAGTACAATATGCATAATTCAGGAATCCCTGAATTGTCCAGAGCAACCACTGACTGATAAACTTTGCTGATATTTTTGGGACGATACAGTATATAGGGCCGATTTGGATTATTTTCAACCAAATTATGTACATCTAATTGACAGTCCTTTTTTTTTACTACAAACCTTCAAGAGAGCTGTGTAGTTACATCTATTTGCATTAAAGTGTTAAACAAAGCTTTATGTGTATTTTTTATGCAGCAGATCGACCAAAACAAAACATCGGTCTGTGATGGGGATTTAAGATCGATAGCCGATACTAAAAAGTGCAAATATCAGCAAATGAAGGTGTATGGAGTTTAAAAACACAGTGGAGCAGGGTGGCTTCAGTTTGACGTAAGAACTCAGCGTAAATATGCAAGGTGTGAATGAAACAAAACATAACTCCAGGTCTGTTTGTGATGAAATGACAGTATAACATCTACTTTGGGTCACTGTAAGAAAAACTGTTTGCCATAAAAATACCCATAATGACATTTCCATGGAGACAAGCAGGCAGCCTGTTGAAATGTTACATATTGCACTTTAACCCCATGGAAATTGTTTGACTAAAATTAAGCAAGAAATAAAAGTATAACAATTTAATGAGCATGAACAGAATTTCAATTTCAACGATTTTAATTAAGTTTTTAGCTGCAGATTGATTTGACACAAGACACGCATTTATGTTTTCATTTTACCACCTCTTTGCTGATGAGCCAAAATATATTACAAAAAGGGAAACAAATATTAAGAAACTGCCTGTGTTCCAACCCACTCGTCTAGAAAATGTCATTGGAATAAATTGGCCTGTTTTTGGCTAAACAGTATTTTGTGTCACCTCCAACATATTTTACTTTAAAACTGCAGCCAATTAAACTCTGCTCTTTCAAGCTTCTATGAACAGTTTACTTGTAAATTTACATGCAATAGTTTTCATTTTTGCATGCGCTGAAACTTAATGGGAAAATACACTGAAATAAAATTGAATTTTAGTAAGTGAGAGGGTTTTTTAATCAAATCATCCAGTCACAGTGTAATTATCAACGGTCATCTTCAACACTTCACGGAGTGCTTTTACAGCATCGTTAGTGAAAACTTAAATAGGAAAGAGATTCACTCAGAACTGCCTGTTCTGCACCTTTCTCTCCAAAGTAGTGCAATTCAGAATATGTTTTTCTCATCTCAAAAGTGTTCATCTCATCTGTGCAAGATGAGTACTGAAACATCAGCATTTTTACATTTGATATCACTCCATATGTTGGGCAAAAAAGGCTAAAAACATATTATTTTGAACAAATGTTGATATATCACAAACTTAAAGGTGCTCTGTAGAGTTTTTCTGGTGGAGGGTCCACCCAAGCCCCAAGGTTTTGCCCCATATTTAAAGTATAGAGTATAAAGTATATCTCTGGTTTTAGTAAAACTCAAGGATAAATCCATGAGTAAGACTTGATTACCCCATGCCCAGACCTCCATTCAGGGCAGCTCTGGTCCAGGGGCCGTAAGTAACCTGTATCATTCCGGTGGTGCCAGTTGAAGTGCCATGGGGCTCTTGATTCTGTGTACAACCCAAAAATATGAGAACACAGAGCTGGGCCTGTATTCTGCACTGTATTAGTGCACGTAGAGCTCTAATGACACCCCCTCCTCTCTCACACACACAAACAGACGCTCCACAGACCGCTGATGTGCTTTTTTTCATGGAAAATATCTCTGGCCAAGGATAATCATTTTCACCCACGGCAGCTCTTAAAAAGCTGCCTATTTCTGAGAAAAAAACAAACAAAAAACTCGACACTGGCAAAGCCTACATTAGTGTTCTGATAGCATAAACAGCATGTGTAAGAACATTTAGCATTTGTACTTTCGAGCCCTTGCTGTACGTTGTTCTTTTGTCCTTGTGTATCTCACCTGCTCCGTCTGACAGTGGTGGTAAAAGGCGTAGAAGTACGTGGGCGAGCCGAAGCTGGAGTGTAGATCTGCAGTGGCCACAGCAGGAGCCACCCACTGATGGTCCGTGAACAGAGCCAGGAGGGTCTTTCGCCTGGTCTCGGGGTTGTGTCTGTCCGCCCAGTCCGTGTACATGAACTTGATGGTCTCGCGGAGAATGTCTTTGCCCTCCGGATACCCGTACAGATCGTCCACGAAACTGGACACGGCGTAGTCAAAGTCGTTGGCCTGGACGCCGTTCTCATTGTCCACGATGAGCTCCACGAACTTCAGCCCCTCGCCCTGGTTCACCCCCAGCATGATGTCATAGTTGAGGAATTCACCTGAAAGAAAAACAAAACATAGGTTACATTAATGTTAAGATTGTGCAATTAATCGAATTTTGATCGCAATTTCAATTTGTGTCAAACAATCTCCAAACTCATATAATCAAGTTGGAGCTTAAGCTTAATACAGTTTATTTAGGGATTTAAAAAAAAATAAAAATAGAGAGATTATAGAACACATGTACATATAGTTTATTTTGGATACATTCATGTTTTTTATGCTGTATTTCGTGTTCAGAGTATATTTTATTCATTTTATGTTTTATACATCACAAAACTGCTCTAAGGTTCATATTTGTTAACCTGATTCATCAGCCGGTTTCACATAGTAGAAACCGTCTGACCTCACAGCGTTAGAATTCGTTCGCTTGACGATAGGGAGTACTTTTTTTCTTCTAAACAATCGCTGCTCTTTAGTCGTGATGTGTATGTAATGCGCTGCTAACAGGGCTAACTGGTATATTAAGCTTTTCCCAAATCCCATAGGAAGAAGGGCAATAACGTCTTTCCCCTTGATAAAATTCACCAAACATTCTCTTTGTTTCAGCTTTAAATCCTCGATCTCGGGAATCGTTGTCACCACAGAATGTACGGCTCTTCACTGATTGGCTGGTGCCTGGACTTGCACTTCTGGGGTTTTTGCGAACCGTCTAGTGTATTCCGATTCCTGACCTAGTCGCTGGAGAGAAATGAAATTGAGTGGAGGCACTAGGTGACGCCAGCCTGACTACATATTTGTAGCGTCTTCAATTCCTTTTCAGTTTGAAAGTTTTGCGTAAATGATCACTAACAAAGTGAGTTTTTTTGAGAGAGAAATGCTGAATAAATGCAACTATTAAATAATCATTTGAATAATCGTGATTTCAGTATTGACCAGAATAGCTGATAATGATTTTTTCGATAATCGAGCAGCCCTAATTAATGTTATAGAATTTGATGGTGTCATAATTTCACATGGAGAGCAGGGACATAGCTAACTACAGCAGGGGTCTCCAACCTTTTTTCTCCAGTGAGCTACATTTACTAAACAAAAACACAAGAGAGCTACCAATTTGAGCAGTCACAAAGAAATTAGAAGAAGTTAGATGATTATAACATAAACATAAACCATTATCCATTTATCTGTGCACCAAGTTAGGCAACAAAAGGATATATTTACAATTAATTAATCTGTAATTAATCACATGTGAATTAAGAAATCCCTTGGCGAGCTACTTGGAAGAGGGTGGAGAGCTACTGGTAGCTCTCGAGCTACACCTATGCACTTTATCCACAATACAACTTTATGTGAGATTGACTGTTTTTGCAGAAATATTCAAACTTAACATTTTATATAAAACAGAAGACATCCGATTTAACAGATGACCCTTTGAGTTCTTGACAGGGCTGCTAACCCTTGGGCTTTTCTCATGATGAAGTCTCCTGAAATGGTTTTCACTTCGCAGTTGTGCCATGTCAGAGAGAAGAAATGCCAAAATTGCAAAGCTGTGATCAAAGCAAAGAGTGGTAAGTGTGTAATTTTGTATTTATTCCAGTGAGAATGTCATGTACAATGTAAATAATCACGTAAATAAACGTTCAAAATATCACATAATAATCCACGAGCATCAAAAATTGCAACTATATAGCTGAAAAAACATCACAATATGTCTTTTTTATAGAATATTATGTTTATAGTTCACAGTTTGTCGTATTTTCCTCCTAAAATGGCCGTACACTATAATAGAATCTGTCCAAACTAGGCAATGGGATTTGGGGTGAATTCCCTGGAGCGGTGTTTGGTCGACTTCACTGTAACTCAAGTCTATTTCCTCACAACATTAAGTTTGTTTGGAGAGGGTGAAGGTGCAAGTCAACCACTGTGTACTTCCATTAAGGAGAGAGAGCCATGTCAACCTAACAAGGGCCCAGTCTCAAAGCAGCTCAGAAAAAGGGCTGTAAAAGCAGCCAGTGACTATCTTGTTTTGAAAGAAAATATCTGAAAAACCATGAAAACCCCGCTGTGAAAAAGATGGTTAATAGTCACAAATAAATTTTGGAAGAAACTACAAGATGGTGTTCGTGAGTTTCAGCTTCCTGTTTTATGCAACATTTGGAGAACTTTTTCATTTAAACGATGTAATATTTTGTTTTAAATGTTCATTGCAATGTCAACAATCTTAATGTTTTGTCATTCTGAAACCCATGGAGAGCTTCTGTCCATAGTCACATGTATTTAGTATATACTTATTACAGTTCTGTGAGGTATTTGTCACTAATTCATAACATATTTAGATCACCATGATACTTGTTATCTATATTTGAGAGAGAAAAAAAAAAAAAAAACAGTTTCATGATGTGTTTTATAAGTTTCATTTGAGTCACTCCCCCTTCAGAACACGTGCATCCCGCTAATGAAACTACTGCACATTGCATCAGGTTTGTTTGTGAAGCTGTAGTGTATTGTTTTGTATCATTCTTTTGTATATTTATGGAAAATTCTTGTTTTGGAGCATGGGTGGTGTAAGCTTGTAGGTGGAGCATTAGACCGAATTGTACTGCCAACTTTAAGGAGGGTTCAAATAGGACTCAGGGGCTAGATTACATGCATGGATGACAAAATAACAACTCTGCAGGAATGCTTTTCATGAAGGAACAATGTTATAACATGATAGAAAACTGCAAAAAGTAGATTCTGCATAATACCTCCTCTTTAAGTTCTGATATATTATTTTATCATTGGTATTCAAGAGTAGAGATGCACCGATATAGTATGAGGTCTTAGTCCGATACCAGGTGCACGTACTCATACTCATCATCGGGTGTCCAAACTTTTTTCATCAAGGGCCACATATCTAAACACAGACGAAGCAGAGGGCTGATCGAGGACTGTACACTGGTGCTCAGTACAGTGAATAATTAAAATGTGTGCATGTTTAACATGTTAAAATGAGCCATAAGTCTTTATTCATGCTAAGATCCTTAAAACCACACGAAATATTAAATAGTAGCTTTATCAAAGTAGATTTTCAAAAAACTTGCAGTAAAACATAATTTTTTAATTGATGCAAGGTCATTTGGGCCAATTCACTTGGAAGCCTGAGGGCCGCATTTGGCCCCCGGGCCATAGTTTGGACATACCTGGGCTACCGATACCAAGGACCGATACCACTGTTACTGCCCTGCATCTTACTGGACAGTTACAAATCACCCCTGAGGTGAGCAGAGACTCTGAGCAGTGAGGTGTCCATAAAGAGAAGCAAACAAACTCTTGTGCACATTATTTATTTTTTATTTATTATATTTATTTAATGTTTTTATTGGTATGTATGTGAGAATGTGTCTATATTTATTCATTTTTACAGCTACAGATTTGCTCTGTCGAAGTTTTGTTGTACAATAACAATAAATCTGAATCTAATCTAAATCTAATCTAATTAAGTTCAGCTTTAATCATATGTGACTCACTGAACTATGGAAATATTTACAACTCTTAGTTCACTAAGACTATCAATAAGAGTACGCTTGTCTGTGGTGTTTACAGTAGTAGCGTGATGCCAACATTGCTGCCAATTCTTTTCTTGCGTTGTGACTTAGACGTAAAGTATGTCCACACTGGTCAAAGTTTTGCTGTGATAAAAGTACGACAACTCTCACTGTTATGTGTCTCTTTAGCAGTTTGCCTTGAGCGCAATCGGCAAAGACACGGTGGTAAATATTAAAGCGAGGTGCTTATCTAAATAAATTAGATTGGAATCATCCCTAACTACTGTGAGTTCGGTAGAAATTTAATCAGCTTCTCAAATACATAGTCTAGGATGAAAAGGTAGGTAATACTAAACAAATCTTATGAAATGAATAGGAACCCCTGTAATAATAGTGTCTGGTATTGATACTCGGTATCAGTGAGTACTCAGAGTCAAGAGCATTCTTAAAGACCATTAAGAATACAAATAATGCATTATATGTGTCTGTGGCTTGTGTCTCTTCTTACCTTGTTCCATGAGTATCTGGGGGTCGTCTGGGATCACGTCTCCATCGATGACGGGTCCAAAGGCGATGTGGTAGCGCGCGGGCTGGATGTCCTGATCCACCAGCTCCTTGTAGTGCTTCTTCTGCAGGCAGGCCACCAGCTCCAACGTGTCCTCTAGGTTACAGCCCACCTTCCGGGCGAGCATCCGTGCGTATTTAGCCGGCTGGAAGCTCACCGCCCAGCTGGAGAGGGCCGTGCCGCTCTGAGCGATGGCACGCTGGAACAGACCTGGGAGAGGAAGAATGAGGAGGTTCATGTTGGGGTTTGGGTTTTAAAGGTTCTATAGTACACAAAATGGAGTCTTGTAAGTTTTAAGCCATGTTTGAATATTGTTATTTATCAAAAACATACCCAGAGTTGTGTTTTGTTTCATTCATACATGTTTGAGTAACCCTTTATCATTTCTGTTTACATCTCCAAAGGTCAGAATGCTCTCTTCCACCTTGTGATGTCATGAAATGGCAGTTTTCAAGTTATTGGCTCCTTTTACCTTTAGTTCAGGGCCTTCTCTGTGGCCAGCCCCAAGCTCTGGAACATTCTGCCCCTCCATGTCCAAACAACCCCCACAGTGGAGTGTTTTAAGACCCAACTTTATTCTGTGGCTTTTAACACCGAGTGAGTTGTGTGGTCGTCTGTGTCTTTTATTTATTTATTAATTAAATGTATTTATTTATTGTTTTTTTTTTTTCTATTTTATTTTTTAGTACTGCTTTTATATATTGATTTTAGAATTTTTGTTCATTGATTTTTTTTAATTGTTTTTTTTTTATTGATTGTGTGTAAAGCACTTTGGAAACTGTCTTGTTTATAAAATGTGCTATACAAATCAAGTTGGATTGGATTGCATTAGTTCGGTAAAGATTGTAAATTTCAAGACTGAAATCTTCCAAATGATTCTAGTGAAGGTGTTTTTGGAGTTATAACTGTATTATCACATGAAGGAGTGTTTTCTGTTTGAGAGAAGAACTCAGCCTAAATCTACAGGGTTTGTGTGTTAAACATCTCCAGATTTGTTTTTGATGAGGAAACAGTATAGCATAAACCACAAAATGCCATAACACGGGCCCTTTAAAGAGACACTATGTCACTTTTCCAGGGGAGGGTTCAACATTTGCTTTTCTACTGTGTTTTTGTTTTACCTGACATTAAATCTATCTAAGTCTATCTCCATGGAAACAAGCAACTGACTCCATCAGGGCATTTTACATATCAGATCTGTAGAGAGGCAGTTTTTAAGTTGTTTTTGTGGAACTTTCCGGACAAAGCAAAAGCATCTCCACAGAGACGAGCAGATGACAGACCCTTCGGCAGAAAAATCACATAATGCCCCGTGAAGACTATAACATTTTTAACAATCCCATGAACTTAAAAGGGTAGGTAGATAGTTAATAATAATGCCCTTATAATTACAATTTGCTCTGGGGTAGAAGGACAAAAACAAGGTTGCTTCAGATGCTTTCTCTCAAAATATAGACTCAGGGAATGAATTTAACTGTGTGTATCAGTTAGAAATGCTTTTGGACTGCTGTTTACCTCCTTTTCTTTCTTCTGATGTCAGCAGACTATTAAATATTAAGCAGAGAAGTCCTTTTTTTGTATAAGACTGTAGCAGCTCTCACATTTTAGATGTGTTTTTGAGCGAATGTAATTACTTGCTATTGACAGTCACTGCTCTAATTCCAAATGTTGTGATAGCCTTTGTTGTATAATGTTACATAAATAATATTGTAGAAAATGAATTCTTTGACAGAAAGCCGCGTTTATAGGGGTAGCAGAAGACTGTACATTTTAACGCCAATGTGTGATTAAGGAAAATAGCTTGCGGTCGGGTTTGGCGTCCGGCAAAAACAGACTCACAGCGGAAAGAACCCTGTTTGTGTTCGCTGTGAGCTCCCTCCACGTGTGCGCTCCGAGCTCCCTCTGTACGCTAAATTATTCTGACTACACCGGACAAGAGCTCCACCACGTGCTGTTTGAGCCTGAGGTGTGTGAGGTGAGAATATGTTTGGGCCGCTGAAAACAGTTTAAAACAAACATGTATTAAAGAAGACATATTTAGCTTGAGCCTGAGTTATAGTTATACTCTACGGCATTGGTGGACCCTTATGTTAGAATTTGTGCATTTTAAATTGCAATATTTATCTAAAACGACTTAATAAAAGAAAAATGTGTGCTGACTTTTGCGTTAGAAAACTGCTTTGGCCAATGGGAGCTGATGTTGCTGTAAAAATCACCACTACAAAGACTCCTGGAGACTGGAGAACATCACGCCAGCGAGCAGCATTTTTGCTATTTTCGTGTGTACCGAAATGACTCTGCAATACTGCCAAATCCTACGCATAACATCGATTAAGAAAATAAAAATGGAAATCTAAGTAAGTTGAGAGCAGTGGGTGTAAGCCGGTAGGGATTGATCAGCAATATATCTCGAAAATAAGTGATTAAAGATGCACAAATAACTCTAAATGCAACTTTGAGAGGGGAAATGAGAAGGGGAAACAACTATAACATGGTTAAAAGCTCTGGAAAGTGGATTTTGCAGAATACATCTGCTCTAACAAATAAATCAGGTCCTATTTTCAAACACTCGCGTTCACCTTTAGTGGAGTTGCTCCAGCGGTTGCCCTCAGAATAGTGGGACAGGGTGAGCAGGTTGACACAGGAGGCGCCGGCTCCAGACCCGAACACTGTGATCCTGAGCGGGTCTCCTCCAAACGCTGCGATGTTCTCACTGGTCCAGCGCAGAGCCTGGATCAGGTCCAGGAGGCCGTAGTTCCCTTTGGCCGACTGGTCCCCGGTGCTCAGGAACCCTGCACACAAGAGGGAGAGGGGCTGTGAGCGGACTGTCTTTTGAATATTTTATAGGATGTTCTTCGATTGAATGATTATCGATCAATGAAGAGTGGTAGTTATGGTTCACAGTAAAGTTGGGAATCACAGAGTCCCTCATGATTTGACACGATACACAAAACATGGCTCATGATACGATATTATCACGAAATGGCGACACATGTGATAATCGATATATTCTACATGGTACTTTTAAAGCAACAAACACAATTAACCCATGGTATTTCTTTGTTAAACCAATACTTATGCAAAGTTCATATGAAATACATCTACTTTAATCATCAAAACATCAAGTGTACTGCATCAACAAGTTTTTTTCCCACTAAATAGGCAACAAAATTGTAGTGCCATCACAAAAAAAATGCTAAAAGATACCAAAAAAATATATCGATACAGCAGCCAATGATAACAATAGTGTATCATCAAATTTAGTATCACGATATATTGATATTTTAGTATTTTTGCACACCTCTAGGTCACAGAGTTTCAATTCTCAAAAATGTACTGTAAAAAAGTAACATTAAGAATAAGAAAATAAAATTGCAATTGCTTTAATCTGTGCAATATAATCCTCACTACCTAAACCCCAAGACCTGCAGCCTGTCAGGAGTCAGTGCTAGTGCAGCCTCTGCAGCTCAGGGAGGGAATTCTGGAGGTTCTGAGATTTCACATGAGGTCCCTCACGATTTGATACGATACATAAAACCTGGCTAATGGTACATGTGTACAACATCAAGTGTACTGCATAAACAAGTTTTCTCTCGCTAAATAAGCAGCAAAACTGTAGTGCCGTCACAAAAAAGATACCAAAAAAACATTCTTTGTGATATATCGATACAGCAGCTCATGCTAACAATAGTGCATCATCAAATTTAGTATTGTGATATATTGATATTTTAGTATTTATGCACACCCTTAGATCACAGAGTTTCAATTCTCAAAAAATGTACTGTAAAAAAGTAAAGTACAAGAAAATAAACTTGCTATTGCTATAAGTTTTAATATTCTTAATCTCATCCTATTTGCCAACCAGAAATAAAAAACCTTTGTGAATCTTCTCAAAACAATTGTGTAAAGACGTTTAAACTAGTCAAAACTACTTGAAGTCAGATGATTATTCTGAACTGAACTCTGTGTCTCTAATCTATTATTTAACCGTGTTGCCTGTGTTTGACTATGTGGGTTTCCAAGTCTCACTGCCTAAACCCCAGAACCTACAGCCTGTCATGTGCTAGTGCAGCCTCTGCAGCCCGGGAGGGAATTCTGGAGGTTCTGACCTTTCACATGAGGCCTGTCTATAAACTGAGAATGAGAAAAACTTGGATGTGTCTCTATCTGCAGGTTAAGACTCTGGCAACACAGGCTCACTTGTAATAGTAAAACTTTTTTTTTACTGCTCAAAAGTTTTAGAACACCTTCATTTTCCCAGTTATTTATTGCAGTTCAAGTTGCAAGGCCAATGAAGAACTTGAAATGCTACAAAGGTAACTAAAACTACCTCAGGAAAAAAGAACAAGATGGTAAAGCTTGAAAACATGGAGTGTCCAGCACAGTGTCCAGACTTAAACCCCATCGAGCTGGTTTGGGATGAACTGGACAGAAGAGTGAAAGTAAAGAAACCTACAAGTGCCACACATTTATGGGAACTTCTGCAACAGACTTTCTGAAGAGTATTTGATTAATATTGTAAAAAGAACGACCCACGAGTGTGTTCAGCTGTTATATCTGCCAAAGGTGGACACTTTCATGAATCAAAAGTTTAGAATACTTTTTGGTCAACGGTAAACAGTAAAAAACTAGAAAGAGCGTGGTGTCCTAAAACTTTTGACCAGTAGTGTATATTTAAAGAAAGTTGATTTGTGTAAAATGTAGTGTTCATGCGCACCAAGTCAGCATTGTACTGACTCTCCGGGAGCCAAGAAAACTGCTTTGTAATCTGTATACAATTTATTTTATCTTTATGCAAAATCACCCCAGCAGGATGATAATGGTGCCATCTTACCAAGTTTATAACAATGCTTCCGTTTTTATAATATACCCGTCTTGCCACAGTTCAGAAATGTTGTATAAGCAGCTCTTGATTTAAAAATAGGTCCACATCGTGCCATGAGCATCTTGTTATGAAGTCCAATAATATGGAAGTGCACATTACCATCCTAGTTGTTGCTTTACCGTTGTGGCAGAAACTCTTCTCTGGCCTCTAGTAACAGATTTCTGTAATACATTTCTTTTTGCTGTTACACAGTAATGTTCAGCTTTACAGGGGGAAAAAACTGTAATATTTTACTCGGTACAAATATCAGTAACGCGTCACAATGTTATTTTACCCTGGATTGAAGTGGTGGGGTTTTTTTTTAATACAAATTTAGCTAAAATCACTGCGATATCAGAGACGTGCCCACATAGACCGTCAGGGAACCGCGAGTGAAAGAACGGGTGCACTCCACAGGGCCAACCGCAGCTGACGCCCAATCGCGCCTTGCAGACATCCTGCTTCATGGGCGCGGGGTTCGCTCAGGGCGGTCCTAGAGTCCAAGTTCTAGTCCAAGATTAGTCCTGGTTTGGTCCTGGTTTAGACCTGGTTTAGTCCTGGTTTAGTCCTTGTTTAGACCTGGTTTAGACCTGGTTTAGTCCTGGTTCAGTTCTGGTTTAGACCTGGTTCACTTCTGGCTTAGTTGGTTTAGTCCTGGTTTAGTCCTGGATTAGACCTGTTCTGGTTTAGTCCTGGTTCAGCTCTGGTTTAGTTCTAGTTTAGTCCTGGTTTAGTCCTCGACTCAGTCCTGGTTTAGACCTGGTTCAGACCTGGTTTAGTCCTGGTTCACTTCTGGCTTAGTTGGTTTAGTCCTGGTTTAGTCCTGTTTAGTCCTGGATTAGACCTGTTCTGGTTTAGTCCTGGTTCAGTTCTGGATTAGTTGGTTTAGTCCTGTTTAGTCCTGGATTAGACCTGTTCTAGTTTAGTCCTGGTTCAGTTCTGGTTTAGACCTGGTTCAGTCCTGGTTCAGCTCTGGTTTAGTTCTAGTTTAGTCCTGGTTTAGTCCTCGACTCAGTCCTGGTTTAGACCTGGTTTAGTCCTGGTTCACTTCTGGCTTAGTTGGTTTAGTCCTGGTTTAGTCCTGTTTAGTCCTGGATTAGACCTGTTCTGGTTTAGTCCTGGTTCAGTTCTGGTTTAGACCTGGTTCAGTCCTGGTTCAGCTCTGGTTTAGTTCTAGTTTAGTCCTGGTTTAGTCCTCGACTCAGTCCTGGTTTAGACCTGGTTCAGACCTGGTTTAGTCCTGGTTCACTTCTGGCTTAGTTGGTTTAGTCCTGGTTTAGTCCTGTTTAGTCCTGGATTAGACCTGTTCTGGTTTAGTCCTGGTTCAGTTCTGGTTTAGACCTGGTTCAGTCCTGGTTCAGCTCTGGTTTAGTTCTAGTTTAGTCCTGGTTTAGTCCTCGACTCAGTCCTGGTTTAGACCTGGTTCAGACCTGGTTTAGTCCTGGTTCACTTCTGGCTTAGTTGGTTTAGTCCTGGTTTAGTCCTGTTTAGTCCTGGATTAGACCTGTTCTGGTTTAGTCCTGGTTCAGTTCTGGTTTAGACCTGGTTCAGTCCTGGTTCAGCTCTGGTTTAGTTCTAGTTTAGTCCTGGTTTAGTCCTCGACTCAGTCCTGGTTTAGACCTGGTTCAAACCTGGTTTAGTCCTGGTTCACTTCTGGCTTAGTTGGTTTAGTCCTGGTTTAGTCCTGTTTAGTCCTGGATTAGACCTGTTCTGGTTTAGTCCTGGTTCAGTTCTGGTTTAGCTCTGGTTTAGTTCTAGTTTAGTCCTGGTTTAGTCCTCGACTCAGTCCTGGTTTAGACCTGGTTCAGACCTGGTTTAGTCCTGGTTCACTTCTGGCTTAGTTGGTTTAGTCCTGGTTTAGTCCTGTTTAGTCCTGGATTAGACCTGTTCTGGTTAAGTCCTGGTTCAGTTCTGGTTTAGACCTGGTTCAGTCCTGGTTCAGCTCTGGTTTAGTTTTAGTTTAGTCCTGGTTTAGTCCTCGACTCAGTCCTGGTTTAGACCTGGTTCAGACCTGGTTCAGACCTGGTTTAGTCCTGGTTCACTTCTGGCTTAGTTGGTTTAGTCCTGGTTTAGTCCTGTTTAGTCCTGGATTAGACCTGTTCTGGTTTAGTCCTGGTTCAGTTCTGGTTTAGACCTGTCTTAGACCTGGGTCAGTTCTGGTTTAGACCTAGTTTAATCCTGGTTTAATCCTTGGTTCAGTCCTGATTTAGACCTGGTTTAGTCCTGGTTCAGTTCTGGCTTAGACCTGGTTTAGTCCTGGTTCAGTTTTGGTTTAGTTTTGGTTTATTCCTGGTTTAGTTCGGGTTTAGACCTGGTTCAGTCCTGGTTTAATCCTTGGTTCAGGACTGATTTAGACCTGGTTTAGTCCTGGTTCAGTTCTGGTTTAGTCCTCGTTCAGTCCATATACGGCGCAAAAGTTCAGCATCTTCGCAGTTATTTTGGTGAAAGTAACTTAAAAGTGCTGCAATAGTCGTGCAATGTTTTATATTTTAAACACAGTAATATTGTAATGTAATAAATGACTTTGAAATGACAGAAACAAGTCATAAATAACACATTACAGTTTTAAAGTCACTTGCCCAACAGTGTTTCCAAGACAGTAAAAATTAAGTAGAAAACAGTTCTGCCTTTTTTCATTACACATAGAAGTAAAAAAAAAAAAAAAAAAGAATACAAATGGCCTTCAGATGATGACAATTCCCAAACTTACTGCGCTATTTTCTCCAAGACACGGCAAAGTTTGAACTCGCCACGATACGTCCTCTCATTTATTTCTGAACATAAAAGCGAGATGATCATTAACATAAGATAACATACACTGACAGGCTGTACCGTCTCGTGAACATGTGTGTATCCGTGTGTTTTCACAGAAGCCAGAACACGGCAGCTGTTTAATAATTGGCTGAAATAAAGCGGGAGTTATTACCC